CACATCCACAGACAGCAGATCAAGACAAACTGAGAGCGTGTCCTTTATCAGCAAAGTGAACTGGTGGGAAAGTTAGAGAAAAGCGGAGGCATATGGAGGAGTTAAATCTAGTGTGGTCTAATTAGAGTATAAAAGGGGAAATGCCAGAAGCAAGGTAACAATCAAAAAGATAACAGATGATGATACACAGAAATTATGAAAAACATGAATACAGAAAACAAGCAAGGCAGGCGTGGTGGTGCACACCTGTAATCTCAGCACTCAGGAGGCTGAGACAGGAGGACTGCCACAAGTTCAAGGTCAGCCTGGGCAACATAGTGAGTTCAAGGCCAGCCTGAACCTCACAGCAGGACCTGTCGAAAGAAAGAAAGAAAGAAAGAAAGAAAGAAAGAAAGAAAGAAAGAAAGAAAAGCACAGAGTAGGATAAAAAAGTCCACATCTAAATGCAGTACAATGAAACAACAATAAAAACCAAAAGGCCTGAGAGACACAAAGGTGGCCCGCCGGTATCAGATGACATCCAAATAGCAACAGTGGAGCCCACAATGGAACGCCATTTTCTGAGCAGTGAAAGAAATGAAGCTATAAACCTACAGTCACACAGTAAGCAAAGCTGTCTTTCAAAACTAAACCGAAACATGCTTTGAGATTTTTAAAAAGCAAATTTATGACTGACGACCCTTTTCCAAACAAATTTCCAAAGATATTCACCAGAAAAAGAAAATGACCCTAAAGGAAACCCGAGATGGAAAAATAAATAACAACAACAATGACAATTCCTTAGGCTGTTAAAAAGGAAGGGTTCATGACAGCATGCAGGGCACTGCCCAGCACAGACATTAAAGACGGGTCCTCTCCAGCAGGTCCTGCACAGCCCTGCCTGGGCCTCCGGAGCCCACTGTTGGGTGTGCACAGCACTCAGCCATGTAGGATGATGCTGGCGGCGGCCACCCCAGGTGTCTGTCCAAACAACAAGCCACATGATGAAGGACTTATAATTTGGGGGTTAAAGGGAAAGGACAGGGTACTGCAGGCAGAGGAAGTGGCAAAGGTTCAGAAGTGCGGGTCAGGAAAGCACCATCTTTCCTCCCTCTGAAGAGCACACTGAACATTACGGAGGTGCTTTTGAAATGGCTAAGCCAGAGACAAAGCATTCTGGGAAGCAATTGCACAGAACGGCAAGAGTGGGAGATGTCGGGGGCTCTCTACAACCATCACAACCGGTCACTCGACTTCCCCCAACTGCAGCCCCCTGCGTTGTAATAGGTGACGTCCACCCTGGCGTGTGCATCCCAGTGAAGACAACAAGCACACGCAAGGAAGTTACAGGTCACTGAGCCAGAAGCAGGGTGCGCGGCGACGGCACTGTGACGAGGAGGCTGCCAGCTGCCAGAGGCAGTGCTGAACAGACATCGTCCTCCTCCCCTTCACACTGTAACAGCGACTCCCGCTGGCCAGGCACTGACAGCCTCACAGGCCGCCCGACTGTCATGACCAGCACTGAGATTTCAGATGCATCAAAAAACTCACCAAAACATTTTTCTTAATTAAACATTTTGGAATCTAATCAAATTCAATTTAAAAACATCCCAAGAAGTAGTCAAATCTCTTTTCTTCATACTGAGCAAAATTTCATCAAAAGAAGCCAGGAGGGCAGCAGGGCGTGGTGGCACACACTTGTAATCTCAGCATTCAGGAGGCTGAGGCAGGAGAAGCACTGAAAGTTTGAGCCCAGCCTGAACTACACGATGAGACCTTGGCTAACTAAAAAAGGAGGAGGAGGAGGAAGAAGAGAAAGAAGAGGAGGAGGAAGGGGAGGAGGGGAAAGAGGAAGAAAAGGCTAGAAGGGCAATTCTGACCTATAAACATCAGCATAATCGGAGTTTTTACAAAACATTAAAATGCTGATTTTGTTTCCTTGAAAAGTACCTACAGAAATAGCAATGCATTAGCGTAACAGTAACATATTATCTATATTCATGCTAAAATAATCCAAGACTTATTCATCAGAAAAGTCTTTCAAGCATTATTTCTTCAGGATTTATCCTTTTTTTGGTACCAGGGATCAAACTCTTAACTCACAACCTCGTGCTTGCCAGGCAGGCGCTTATGCCACTGAGCTAAATCCCGGCCCTCTAGATTTATTCTTTACAACCTAAAGTAAACACATCTCGTCCGAAGTCCATAATCTGCAACATGTGTGTTCTATTTCACTATGAGGCATTTATTTCCTTAAAAGTTAATTACTGGTTGTTCAGTAGTGTTTAGCCAGTTGAGGCCCATCAACGAGGCACACACAAATTCTTCATCTAAGAAAAGGACACACAGAATGCTCTTGAAGGAAAGCTCACTCAAATCGAGACAGTAGTATGTAAGACACCCTAACACCACACTCCCCTTTGGGGATTTTCAATTTTCCCAAATATATGTTAGTGACCTGAATATATATTAGTGCCCCAGGGTGGGGTAGGTATCACACATCTCAAGGACATCAAATTTAAAGGTGTTACACATAGGAGAAATTTTTATGGTAACTGCAGATGACAGTAAGATACCAAGATGGGTTTTTAATTATTGCATTAATTTTGATTTCTAAGGGTAATAAAATGTTTCAAGGTACCGTCTTGCAAAACAAAAGACACAGAAACCTTTAACAGTCACACAAACACAAAACTTTCAGAAGCATCCTAAAAAAACTATGTCACTTGGTTTAAAAACAAATGCAGTTTTGACCACCACGCTGACATGCACATCAGGCAGGGCTGTCAGTCTATTTCACTGGTGACAGGTGAGGGAGAATGGAGAAAGCCACTTCTACTAGTCAGAGATGAGGAGGGAGCGAACGCTGCCCCTCTGACACGCCTAGAACATTTATAAACCAGCTGGGTCCCCTGACCCCTGTCTTCCGCATCCCAGCTGGGGGGATTACAGGACATCTTCTGCAAGCTCCTGAGGGAAGACCCATGGCTTAGATACTTCTGCATCCCTCCCAGCTCAAAAACAGAGCTGAGTGTGTGCTTTTTAACCACGACAGCATAATAGGTATTTTCCATGGCAATTAGGCGATAATTAGGGTGCGGGTGGAGTAAACTAAGTGGAGATGTGGTTCTGTGCCACACAGTAAGGAACAAGGAAATAGAAGTGACTTTGAAATAACCTGGCACATGAGCACCTCCAGCCCATTGCCAGGGTGCTCACAGCACAATTTATCCCCGAGTTGTGCTCAGCTTTCAGATCTTTTTTGTTGGTGATTTGTGTGACGCTGCTTTTGTGCTGACCCGTAAAGGCTAATGCTGTAGTGCCACCTCATATCTGTAAGGTACCGTATGCCGACAGGCTGTGGGATTCAACATCCAAGGCAAATAAAAACAACGTATTTTTCCACTGCTAGCTTCACACACACAGTATTTTGCTAATAAAAACAGAGGTCATCAGCTGTTTTACACTCACGCTCCATTCCAATGGGAATTTTTAAAGAATTTCTTCTAGAAAAACCCTGCAGTAACTTGGGTTCAAAATCAACTTTAACCCAATTCTTCATCTTTCCATCAGACCTTCTTCAATTCTTAATCCAAATTATCCACCGACCAGGGACCAGGAACAGGGGACAGGGCCAGGGGACAGATTTTTTTTAAACAACAATTACGATGCAAATTCAGTTACAACGTATGAAGCAGGCGGTCCTACCTTATCTTTACCATTGTAAACGCATGCCACAGGAGAGACAAAAGCAGGGCTCTCAAACATCCTCTCACAATGGTCTCTGGCCAGATTTCTCCTGCCTTCATACCAGTCCGTGAAGTTTCTGAGCTCTCCTGCTCTCTGAGCTCAGGGAACCCGCGCGAGTCCCTCCAAGACCTCAGCAGAGCGCCTGCATCCCTTCTCGCTCCTACCTTTTGTCTAAGAAGGCTAAAGCACTTCATTATGCTACCTTCCAAGCCCATGAAGTCACTGGTGGGTTAGAGTGCTGAGGCCGGGGAGTGAACTGGACAAGCCAAGAGGCCTGGACAGCTGACCCAAGTTGAGTAACCCTCCGGCTCATTAACCTCCTCAGAACATCGGGCAGGGCTCTGTTTACAGGGATTTTATTGAAAACAAAAAACACTCAGAAAAAAACCTTTCCTCACAAAGGAACTTGGGCACACACAATTGTACTTTTCAGAGGTGGAAGACGACTGACTGGACTAGTTCTTTCAGTCTGCAAGAGTTTCAACAGCCAGGACATCCACATCTTGATAAAAACTCGGCAGGGCAATTTGATCAGACCCAGGAGCCCCTCCTGCACAGCGGGGCACCCTGACACCCTGACACTCCCAAGGCGGGGAGACCTGCAAGGTCCCACTGGCCCTGAATCATCACATTGACTGGGCCAGGAGAATAGAGTCCCCAGCTTCACGGGCTGCTTCTGCTCTAACCCAGACCACGAGAGCCCTCTTGACACGACAAATGTCACAGCGCGCAACTCACAGGGACCTAACACGCCTCCACCTCCACCCCTCTGGCTACCCCGGGTGTCCATGACCCACAGTGTGAGCTCGAGGTTGCAAAAAGCAAAGTCATGAGCCACTAGGGTTCGTGCACTCAAGGCAGAGAAGCAGGGAGGTGCCGCTGGCGGTCACCACTGAGGCGGACACGCGATGCCCACACTGTATCTCCTGCCAGCAGGGGGACAGTCACAGGGCCAGGGCCAGGGCCACAGAGCTAGGGGACAGAGCCTCAGCCCTGAGACCAGGAGGAACACAGCAGAGCACCCTGGGAGGTCGTGCAAGCTTTGGGCACCAGGGACAGGGGCCTGGGGAACGGGATGAGGATGGGGGAAGGGGGCGAGGACAGGAGGACAGGCACGGGGAACAAGGGGCAGGCGACAAGGGACCGGGGACGCTGACCAGGGACAGGGCGCTGGGCACAGAGACAGCGACAGGGCGGGCCAGGGATGGGGATGAGGGTCCAGGCGTGGGGGACGGGATCGGGGCGGGCCGGGCCGCTCGGCCGGTACTCACGTTCTCGGTGTCGCGCTCGTTCACCGTGGGCAATGGCGTCCGCGCCGACATCTTGCGGCGGGGCCGGGCCGGGGTCCCGGGCGGCGGCCGGGCCGGCGCAGGAGGAGGCGGCGGGGACGAGGAGGCGGCTCCCGCTCCCCTGCGCCCGCCCCGCCTCAGGTGCGCGCCGCCGCCCGGCCCCGCCGCATCCGCGCGCCCGCCGCGGTCTCCCACCGGGTCCGCCCCCGGCCGGCCGGCGGCCGCAGTCTCCCTCCCGGTCCGCGCGCGGCCTGGGCGGGTGCGCGGCGGTGGCTGGGCCGGGGCGCGGCCTCCACGCCCCTGTGCGGTGGCGGGCGCGGGCGCGGGGCGGCCCGGGAGGGCGGTGCACGGGGACCCACGCGGGCTCCGCGCCCGCCGTGGCCGCCTCGCTGCGGGGACAAAGGCGCGGGCGCCACCCGGCGGGTGGGTGTGGGGTCCCGGCCCGCAGAGCCGCCGCCGCCGCGTCCGCGCCCCGCGTCACTTCCTGGGGCGGGAGCGTCCCCCGGGGGCGAGCGGCGGGACTGTGCGCCGGCCCCCGCCCTGCGGTGCCCGGCCGCGCTGCTGCCGCGGTCCGGGTCCGGGAGGCGCCTGCCGGGGCGGCCGCGCCGCGGGCCGCGCAGGTGGTGGGAAATTTCCCCTCCTCTGCGCGTGTCCGCTGGGAGGAAGGGCTCCTGCGCCAGACGGCTTTTATCTCACTCATTAAAAGTTGCTTCTGCAGAATTAACCGTGACCCGTAGATCACGGGCCCCACGGGCCCCTGAAACTACCAAGCCCAGGTTCTCCGCGGGGACATCCGCGCCCCGGGCTCACTGGGAGAGGCCACCTGTGTGTTAGCTGCTCTGGCCGTTTACATCGCAGAGGGTGGACACAAAAACCCTCTGGCGGTCACCTCAAATTCTGAAGTAGTATTGGGCCTCAGAACCACGGGAGGCATCCGGAAATAGACGTCAGGCCGCTGAGAAGCCCCACAGCCAAGGTCCTTCTGGGGAGACCTTGGGTCACCTGGGTCCTATGGATGTGACCAAGAACACAAGTTGTGTTTACTGGTCATCTAGAGCCAGTGTGGCCTAAGAGATACACCATGGCCAGCAGCCTCAGGGGCCCCTGGCCAGGCTATCACATCTGTATTCACAGCACAGGGGGAGCATCAGGTCCTCTGCACAGATGCAGGCATGGGATGGGCATGGGTCACTCAACTAGCTTCCATTCTGCCCCTTAACACGGGTGCACCAGTCATCCTCTGTCTTCACCCTTTGGGGACCCTGGAAGACAGATTTATCCCCACTTTGCGGAACACCAATGGATGGGCGTGAGATGCAAGTGATAATCATACTCCACAGTGCCATCCGTCCAGCACCAGTCACAAGACCACAGGCCGCCACGCCTGCAGGTGCCATGGTTAACTGGACCCAGAGCTCAGGGAAAACCAGGATTCTGGCACAACGGCATCGTTGGCTTTGTCATGTGCTCTAAAGGTCTCAAAAGAATATCAGGGGCCAAGGCTGCAGCTCAGTACAAAGCCCTGGATTCAATCTCCACTACTGGGGGAAAAAGTCATACTGGACTCTTTTAGCTGTATTTGCTAGCTTGTGCTCTCGCTGAAATTGACTGAAAATTACATAATGATAGGAAGAAGGACTTATTTTCTCAATTTTGTAACAACGGAACTGCATTCAAAGAGAATCATTACTGGCTAATTCAATAATACTGTCTAACAAAATAGGTCAGACACAACGTCTTCAACTTTTCCAAAGGTAGACAACTCTACCTGTGTAAAAGGGTGACGTATAAATCACCCATGTTAGTCCCCGAAACCTTCAGCTTGATGTGTAATGAAATGCCCTCCACCTGGGTTAGAGAAAGCTACATATGCTTTAGAGGCATTCTGGAGTACACACCTCTGCGGTCTCTTCTCTAAGAAGTTCAAAGGCACTGTGGTGATGGAATCAGAACCCCATCACTGGGCTTTAATCAGGAAAACTCTCCTTTTTGGCTTCTTGGAGCTGGTTCCATGTAGAAGTAGCAGAGTCATATTTTAAGGCTTTGAGTACTTTTCTTTAGTGTATTAACCGAATGTGACATGTTCAACTTAGAGGTTTCTAGTTAAGGCATTAAAGCAATAAAAGTTGCAGGGGGAAACTGAAGTCCTCATGAAAGAGAATTAACAAGGGGCAAGACCTGCACGGAAAGCCGGAAGAGCGCTGTGGGCACCGGCTAACGGGCACGTCCAGGAACACACTGTCCGATCCCACGGGCCAGCTCCGTGAGGTCCCTGAGCGCCTGACAGTTGCTTGAATTTTTAATTTCCTTTAATTTTAAGCAATGTAAGGTTAAAAACTGATTCAAAGTTTGGAAAATTTTAAGGTAGGTTTGAAAAACATGCAAGTGTGTGAACTTGAGCCTATAAATTTCTCACATCTAAATGCAGCTCAAGTAGTTCTAATAACAACTGATCGCTTATACTGGGCTATGCTGTAAATATAAAGTACACACCAGATTTTGAAAGCCTTGGTAAAGAGAGAGAATAAAAAATATTCATAAACATGATGTGGATTATTTATTCAGGTGCTAATTTTCATAGGCTGAGATAAATAAACATCAAACATTAGCTTCAACTTCTTTAACTTTTGCAAGGGAAGAGGCTGAGAAGCTCAAGTGTCAATGTGTGGCTTACATGGTGTCTCTGCTGGACAGCGATTCTCTGTGTGGTCAGAACTGGGACTAGAGAGGTTCAGCTGCTGAGGAATCAAAGGCCTTGATGAGAAGCTGTTAACCATCCGTTCCGGGATGGGGTGGTACCCAACCCTATCCTGCCACACTGTGCTGTGCTAAGGGGCCGCTGCCAGGTGACTCTTCACCTAGTATTAAGCAGTAGTTAGCACCATCATCTTATTAAAGAGCTAAGCAGAAGACACGTCGAAATCCTGCGAATGAGTGTTAACAGATCACAGTGGTTGAAACACAAAAAATGCATGGAACGTGACGGATTCCACAGAGTTGGTGGTGAATTCATAAATTCTCATGCCTTATGCTTTACATACATCTTGTATCTAATAGACTCTGCCAGCCAATTACTATTTAGTTGAGGGCACATTTTGCTTTGGGCTATTTAAGACTTTCACTTAACCACACAAGAAAACTTCCGGTCTGGATGGTTCTGTTGGGTACCAAAGAGCTGCCCCAGCTGAGAAAACCATCATGAAAAGCTCTCCCATTGGTACCCCGGGTCCTGATCGCCTCCCTGGAGCAGCAAGCTGCCTTTTATCATGTATACACTGGTACGACTGCTAATGCGAATCCTGGGCTTAGAATGGGCCTCAAGAGAAAAGACGATTGTGCCTTAAAACCTGCAGGACCACTGTCATTTAATCATGTGTGTGGTCACGGGGGACTGAAAAGTGGCAGTGCCTCATGGCCTTCAGTGTCCATAGAGCCACACCGGCCCAGAAGGTAATTCTGTGTGCCTTCAGGTTGTCACACACACACGCATGCACACACACAGAGTCTGTGTCTTGATGGCAGTTTTTCTCCTTCCGATGTCAGTCATCGCAGGCTCGCCGATGCCACACCAACTGGACTTTTGTGCTGTGCCACTTGGCTCCTCCCCGCCTTGCTTTCATCTGTCATGTCTCCCAGAAAGTCCTCCGGTCTTCTGCCAGACAGGCCCAAGCTGATCCTTACACCCTTCTGTTGGGAGCCTTCTTGACACCCCTGTTCTTCCCCACCCCAAGGAGCTGGTTAATCACTCCCCCTGCCTGCTTCTGTCTCCAGGTCACACTTCCGCTCTGGCCCCCTGACACCCTAATCCAGCTGTGGGCTCGGGGGGCGGGGTGTCTTCCTTCATTCTGGTGCCCAGGCCAGGTGCCGAGCAACCAGTAGACAGCCGATTTCCTAAATGACCTATATGGGCTTGTCCCGAGTTGTAGATTCCCCTGCGCTTTCACATTGTTTTGAATTTCTAAGAAGCACCATGTGAGGAATTGAAAATGTGTTATAAGGAGAAAGCAGTTTGCAGCTGGGAGTTGTGGGAGCAGATAAGAGTGCGTCCCCACCGTGTGCAGAATAACTTCCCAGTGAATGTTACTGACTGAGTGGCGAAGGGACTGTTCTGTCCCTGCAGGGCTGTAGTAGTGTAACACCGAGCTGCTGATTCACTGCTGTGTGGTTTTATGGTAATCATTTGTTTTTATCCACACAGAGGAACTACCGATCTTGGATATTCAATAGAACCACTTTAAATGACTATCTGCATAAACCAGGGTTTCAGGCAGCAAGATCTGGGCAGGAAAAAGCGCTTTAAAAATAAATTGAAAGGGGGCTGGGGATTTAGCTCAGCGACATAAGCACCTGCCTTGCAAGCAAGAGGTCGTGAGTTCGACCCCTGGTACCGATGAAAAAGAAAAAGACAAAAAAAAAAAAAAGTAATTGAAAAATATAAATGCAATGGCATGATGACAGAATCCCAGAGACCATGGTGCAGGAAGGTCCGTGTCAGAAAGAAGTCATCAAAACTTGAGCGGCTCTTCCTAAGCAAAAGGGGCTCGACGCTGTCACATGGCATTGCAGAATTGGAGAGGAAAAAAGACAGGGCACAGGAAGGTAATTAGTGGTGAGTTCGACATGGGTCCTTTCCACTGGGAGTTGGAAAAGTCAGTTAGAAACAAACATCAGTGGCGTCATCTTCAAATGCTTGTGTAAATCCTCCAAGCTTATGGGTGTGAATACACTCTTAGTATCGCAGCTTCCAAATGATAGTTTTATAACACGACACGGCAAAACAATCCTTTGAAGTCCCTAATGTAGAAGTGTGGGTCTCTTTCACTGGGAATCCTGGACACAATGTAATTCAACGTCCTTTAAACAGCCTTGCAGTCGAACCACTTAATTTCATGGGGAAGATTCTGAGTGAACCGTTTTTACACTTTGCTTTGTTAGTGTGAAAACATAGCTGTGTACTTTCCTTCCATCAACCTACATTATTCCATCCTTTTAAATCGTTTTTCCATGCTGTGTTACATCACTTACATTTCGGGGGGTTTCTCCCCTTTTAAATCACCACTGACCCTGTCTGTTCACGCATTCATTTAGAAGACATTGATTGAGTCTACTAGTGCTGGGCACAGACCTCCTCAGAAAGAGTAGAAGATGAAACAGATAAAAACAATCCCTGCCCACATGG